GATGCTACATGTATATGATTAACGGAATGCAATCTGCTGTGTTGCTGATCGCGCACCTGACCTAGACGACAGACTTTTTCAGAGAGCTCATAGTATGAAGTATGCATGTTCCCTTCACCTCACTGTTCTGAGATTACGTTTTGCACACGCGTTTGCTTGTATTGCGTACTGTACATATAGTGTGTGTACCTCTTCTTGCAGGTCTACTGTGGCTCCATGTTGTAATAACTTGTCCACCACCTCCACATGTCCATTCAGAGATGCATACATCAGTGAACTCCACCCATTCTGACATGACAAACAGAGTATGTGATTATCAAGGTGTCAGTAGACGCTCTATGTAGGAATGCCTACGTGACCTGCCTATAAACACAGGCTCACTCCACATATTTTTGCAGGTCCTCTTCTGTGTCCTAGTGTCCATAATGTGCGTTAGAATTGTTGCATGAGAAATACCACATCCGCGATTTTATAATTTGTGTGCCATATTCTTCTTCTTTTCATTAAACTGACCTACAGCTTTCCTAATAAGGGTAGAGACCATCAAACTCACACAATTAGTCACGGATTCAATGGACTACAATCTTTTTTGGGCAACTTTTTCCACAAAACAAAAGCTACCAGAGCTGTAGAGGGTATATACACAGCTGACGATTCCATTACTGCTACCTCAGTGAATGGCAGCTGCCAGGTGCATGTACTACTTAGACAGTGGGTGGGCTCGACTATATACCCTACACAAGCTATAGTGAGTGTACAGCAAGTGACCGCCAACCAAAAAAGTAGTGTTTAATTGAGTGCCATATTATTTCTGAGTCCGAGAAAGACCCCAGATTTACACTACAGTCTTACACTAATCCGACAATCAACTGGCACTCCAGCTCCCAGAGCACAATCCAATGACTCTTTATCTCCATCATATGCAGCACTGAGAAGACTGGTCTCCTGTATATACATGGGTACCAGTGATGGTACAGTGTATAAAATTTCACTTACATTTAAATGAAGAACGATAATCTTCTCTCCATTCACAAGTTTTCTAATACCCTCCTGTGCCATTGCATTGCAATGAGAGAGAGAAATTAATGACCGACAAATAGTATAGTAGTGCCAGTGAAGAGTGAGTGGATTGGGGGTGTGGCCATCATACACCAGATCACTAGTGGGGATACCGAGAAAGGAGCTGGTGAGGCTGTGTATGGTGTTGTACTGTGCTCTTGTGAGGGTAGAACCCTCCAATTGAGCAGTGACGAGGTGGCTATCTGGAGGAGGAGGAGAGGGCTGGGTACTTGACTCTCCAGAAATCATGACTTCATCTTCCTCTTGTTGGTGGGAGACTGCCTCACCCTTCAGGAGACTCTGGAACTCTGAGAATGAAGGACCTTGACTGTTGTATGTATAATGCGTTTTTAGGAAACTCACTGTTACGGAGTCTCTCTGAAACATGTAACTGTCCTGCATTAGCCAAAGCCATACAGAATGTTGGGAACACCCCACACTACTATTCTTAGCCTCTCGGAGTGCATCTACTATTATATGTACTTTCTCTAGTTGACTGCTCTTTGCCCAAACTTCTTCTGCTTGTGGCTGTGTCAGCAGCCTTCGTTGCACCAGGTGTGGCACTACTTCATCTGGTGACATCTCCTCCAACAGGCAGCCGTAATTGATAGCAATAGCCTTGAAGCCCTAGTCGAATGACCTTCTACTCCAACTGCATGCTGTAAACTGAGTAAAGTATCAAACTCGACTATACACGAGACAATAGAAACATACTATACCAAAAGAAAGAGTCGTAGACGATGAATCCGTCAAGGGTGAGAGTGGTGACATGATGCTGCTCCATCATGCTCTGACTGCTGGGCTTGACAGAGTCTGGATGTAGGTCACCAGAGACGAGCGAACCCGCCACGTCACCTCCACACACCTCGAGCCACTTCACGCGTGCGGGAGAGACTCATACAAGGACAGCTCCCGGCAGGACTTGAATGCGAAACTTCTCAACATCTCCAGTTTGTAGCGGTGCTCCGCAGTCCATTTGGTGCGTACTAACCATCGTGAGGTGAAACTTCCGTTGAATTGCTACTTCGGGCATCACTCAGCGCAACTTGGGAAAACACTTCGAGCCTTGTTTCTTTCTAAAATTTCCTATCTGCTTTGCAAAATCTGCCATTTTTTTCTTTCAGACTAGCACTTCCATAGAGATCTATGACATACTTCAACAGGGATAGCTGGAGGTAGTGATGGTGCTCCCAATAATATACATTACTTCATCGGTTGATCAGCTTCTTTGATCTCAGCTTTTGCTTCCCAAGGAATTTTTTGTGCAATTTCTTAAGATTGGTGGAAGAAGAGGAGGGAATAACGCAACTTTTTAACTGCAACATGGCACTCAATCCTCAGCAGCACAAAATGAAATGTCAATATACTCTTTGCAAACTGATCTATCTTTTCATTTGTCTTTTCAAATTCTACGGAAGACAAAGTCAAATTCTATTACCCAAATCAGAAACTCGCACGGTCAAAAATCGCAGACTCGGCCACCCAAACCCAAGCGTACTAGAGAATATCATACTAGATGAATGCTAAGCACTGTTGGCGAGCGGAAGCGATCCAACTGCAGATATTACAAGAAAATTTAAAATCCTTCGAATTTTAAAAAGAGGCATATAGAGATGGTAAAAGGAAGGGAGACAAGATAGGGATGGGATACATGAATCAGGCAACAATACAGGGATTGTGCGATGGGGTTGGGGGTGTCAGCGTGCTCAAATCTGTTCATTAACAATGCTTCATGTATCCCATCACTATCTTGTCTCCCTTTCCTTTTATACCATCCCTATTCGCAGAATTTTTTATTTACTAAGTACTACCGTACTTAGTGATACAGCCATTGGTGAGTATGCACCGAGAGTTTGTCGCATAGCGGTTCTCGGAGACTCGCCTCTTGTGCACGAAATGCTGACAAGAAGGGCATGTTTTCCAGTGGTCAGTCGCTAGACGCTGCCCCCTGCAAGCTGTTTTGTGCTGCACGGGTTGTTTCTGAAGTGAGAGGTCACCCCCTGCGACATCTGCTGTAGAGGCGTATATACGTACAGCACACGCGCAATTCGCACACGTGTAACGTAATTTTGAATTCATGCTGGCGGTTATTAAGAGTTAACCTCGTTCACAGGCACTCGCTCGCCGTGAACAAATTTTAACATATGACCTTTGAACCCCCAGAAAGGCGGAGGGAGAATCTTCGCATGTAAGTGACGTCAGGGCAGACACGTTTTTGCACTAGGGTAAACACGTTTTTCCATTCGGGCTTCGGTAGCGTACACAAAACGGTGAGCGAGCGATCTCAACAAGGCTTTTTGATCCAGTTCAACACTACGTCCTTTTCCGCCACTTTTACAGATCTAGAGTTTCTACTCTGACCTGACTGCACAAGTGAGAGTGGGGAGTCAGATCTCTCGCGTGATCAAATGCCAACGAGGTGTCAAACAAGGCTCTTAATGTCGGCTAACCGTTCTGTCTCCTATGCTGTTATTGCTTGTGATGGACCCTCTCCTCGTCACTGTCACTGATGCTGTCTCTATCAGCACTATGCCAATTTATGCCCTCTCACTTCATCGGTCTACCATGTGGTATTAAATATGGAAACTCAGCTTTCTCAACCAACTCCTTAATTCCCACCAATCAACCATCACCTTACATTTGTTCAACTCTCTGAGAAGCCAGGCATCTGGTCCTCTCATGGTTACCCCTTGAATGTGCATGCGCACTGTGATCTGTCTGAATTTGTCTCGTGCCATGCAGACCCTCACATGCCCCTACACGAAAAAAGTTGGTTGTACTGAGTCAGCCTGTTCAGAAAACGGTTAACCCAATCAGATGGGCTGGATTCATGTGACATAAAGGCTATCTGAAATGCTGACCGGTTAGGCACTTGCGCTCTCTTACAGGAGAGGAAAAATTGTCTGGTAACCGTCCATCCCCAGAAAGGTTTTGCTGTATTGCCATTTTCTCTTCACAGCACATTCGTATATGTCATCTTTAGTGCCAACCAGAGCAACAGTTGCAAAATGATTGTTGCAGAGGTATGCAGAGCAAGCGGATCTGATTGAGGTAAGCCTATTGCAGTTTATCACTCGGTTTTTGTTATGTATTGAGAATTCTATGTACGATCATTCGTGATTCATGCAGTATGTGTAGGGCGCATGTGTAGTGTCTGTATACTCTCGTGGTTATCCCGTGTTTCCTGGTATAAATGTGTATGCCGCATACGAATGATCAGTCTTTGTCTGATGAGGATAAAACCGTCGACACATCACGGCACGTTGACCGAGTATGCACCGGCGCACGAGAGCTAGATGGAATGTGTGGAGCAGTTGGAACTCTACTTTGTCGCCAACGACACTGATTCCGACGAGAAGAGGCGAGCGATCTTGCTCAATGCGTGCAGCCCGACAGCATATAAGCTCTTCCGGAACCTAGCAGCCCCGGCAAAACGGAGTGAGGTCGACTACGAAGACCTAAACACGCTGATGAGGGGACCACCGTACTGGTAGAATGATTCCGATTTCACTCGCGGTCACAAAAAACAGGAGAATCCGTCGCAGACTTCGTGACCCAACTGAAACGTCTTAGCGAACACTGCAAGTTCGGCACTACGACGAAGGAGATGCTCAGAGATCAACTAGTCTGTGGCCTGGCAGACCGAAACATACAGCGTAAGCTGCTAGCCGAGGCAGACCTCACGCTAGACACGGCACTGGACATGGCCAGAGCCATGGAGGCAGCGGAGCAGAATGCTCGGGTGCTGCAGCCACCATCGCAACAAGCGGAAGGCCAAGATGTGCACCTCATCCAATGGCGACGAACGTCAAGTGGGGGTGGCACAGGAGGCAGCCAGCAAGTTGGCGACCCGTGCACCCATTGCGGGAGTACAAAACACACTCTGGAAGATTGCCGCTTCAAGTCAGTGGTGTGTCATGCGTGCAAGAAGTGCGGGCACCTAGCGAGGGTTTGCCACGCGAAACTACAGGACAAGAACAACCGTCCGCCGCGAGGTCGACGGTTGAACTCAACACACACGGTCAACCGGGAAGAAGACGAAAGTCAGAGGAGGAAGAGGAGGCATACGCGATATTTCCGATTCGGTCAAACAGAGACCCAATACGAGTAGAGGTAGTGGCAAATGGGAAGAGTCTGTGGATGATTCTAGACACCGGAGCCGCAGTTTCAATCATAATTGAAGCAACATACTGGACATTATGGCTGGCAGAGGGACCTTCAGTACAGCCATCGACAACAGCTCTCAATACTGTATACTGGTGAGCCCATTCAGGTCAAGGGGAGCATGACCCTCCATGTGCAACACAATGATCAGAGCGTGGAACTCCCGGTGGTGTTAGTCGAGGGCACAGGACCTCCGTTACTTGCGCGCGACTGGCTGCATAGATTCCGGTTGGACTGCCAGTGTTAGCAGCAGCCCAATAATACCAGTAATCAAGGAAGATGGCACATACAGATATGTGGGGAGTGTCCAGGTTGGAGTCGTACCCATTTCCCAGGATAGAGGAGCTCTTTGCATCGATGGCATGGGGACAGCTTGGACTTAAAACACGCGTATCAGCAGACGAAGAATCTACGAAATACACGACCGTCAACACTCACAGGGCCTGTTCTGATACAACAGGCTACCATTTGGGGTCTCCTCAGCGCCAGCCATATTTCTGAGGACCATGGATAGCCTGTTACAGGGGCTCCCACATGTCGCTGCCTACCTGGATGACATTCTGATCACTGGGAAAGACAACCAAGAACACCTACAGAATCTGGAGAAAGTGCAGGGAAGACTGGAGGAGCGGGGGGGCTGCAGTTGAAACAGTCGAAAATTAATGTGTTTTCATGGCGCAGCAGGTGGTCTACCTTGGGCACAGGATCAGCAAGGAGGAGCTAGAACCCACTGATAACAAGGTTAGGGCTGTGAGGGAGTTTCCCACACCTCAAAATGGCCCTAAACTAAGGTCAAGGATGCTTAGTTTTTACAGCAGGTTCCTCCCCAACATGTCCACCACTACTTTATGCCCTACTACAGAAAAATACACCCTGGAGATGGTGCAACAGTCCACGGAGACCAGTGCCAAGGAAGCCATCTTGTCTAACTCCATTCTGGTCCACTTCGACCCAGACAAGGACCTAATACTGACGGGTGATGCCTCTCCATATGGCATAGGAGCATTTGCCTCACGAACACTGTCGCCAGCGGAAAAGAATTAATCAACTCTGGTCAGGTTATTCTTTTTGGGGTAAAAGGTTCCACACTTACCTGTATGTTTGACATTTTCCCACCACACTCAGACTATCAACCCCTACGACACCTTTTTGGCGATATGAAGGGAACCCCACCTATAGCAGCCTCCCGGATTTAACGTTGGGCCTTGACCCTCAATGCCTACGAGTATACGATCGACTGCTGTCCGGGAAACAAACTACCACATGCCGACGCTCTCAGTCGACTACCGCTCAAATAGGACATGCGAGCGCCAGTACCAGGGGACATCGGTCTACTACGACAACACTTGGCTACTGTCTCTCCACTAACGGCAGCCCAAATCAGCAGTTGGACCGAACGGGACCCAGTACTCTCACGAGTATTGTGATTCGTCCGCAGAGGCTAGCCAGCGAAAGTAGAAGAAGAAGCCCTACAGCCATATGCTCGATGGAAGACTGAGTTGAGCATTCTGGATGGGTGTCTGTTGTGTGGGTTGATACCAGAGCCAGGCTGGGAAGCGGTACTTAAGAACCTGCATGGGGGACACTCCGGCATTGTTTGCATGAAGGCCCTAGCGAGAGCCTATGTGTGGTGGTCAAGCATGGCTGAAGACCTGGAGTGCAGAGTGCGAAGATGCCCACAGTGCCAAGAGACGCAGGCAGCCCATTCCCCAGCACCACTACACCCGTGGGAGTGGCCATGGACCCGGCTCCACATAGACTTTGCCGGCCCATTCCAGGGTCACATGTTTCTCGTGGTCGATGCGGGAAGCAAGTGGTTGGAGATGGTGGCAACAACGTCAACATTAGCAACAATCAACAAGTTGCGAGCGACATTTGCTGTGTATGGCCTTCCCGAGAGGATCGTAACTGACAACAGCCCACAGTTCATCAGCCAGGAATTTCAGGAGTTCATGAAAGGGAATGGAGTAGTCCACATTCGGGTGGCTCCTTACCACCGTCATCGAATGGGTTGGCAGAGAGGGCCGTACATATACTGAAAACAGGGGCTCCGACGGATCAAAACCAGTACATTAGAAGAGAGACTGTATCGGGCAACATATCGGCTCACACCACATGCCACAACAGGCCAATCCCCAGCTGAGTTACTCATAGGACGACGGCCGTGATCCCGCCTGGACCTACTTCACCCAGACACAGCGCAGAGAGTACATCGCAACCAAAGGGGAAAACTGCATGGTCGATCAGCCAAGACCCGGGAGTTCGAAGAGTGCGAAGCAGTATTGGCACGAAATTTCAGGGGTGGGAGCAAACGGCTGCCAGCAATAGTGCAAAGGAGGACAGGGCCTGTGTCATACCAGATAGAGCTGTAGGATGGACGCCTCATAAAAAGGCACGTGGATCATCTCAGAAAGAAGTATGGGCCAAGTCACCACCCCAATACCCCCAGCAGAGCTAGTCAATGGTCCAAGTACGGCTAGACAACCAGAATCGGTAACACACCCCGAGGAACGCACAGCGCCTGTCGGACCCAATGTACCCGAGGGACCCTACGTTGACAGTGAATCAATGCCGACCGAGGGATCTCCCGGTCCAGAAGATACCAGTCTGTACGTGGTGGCAGAAAACGTGGTAACAGACAGACAGACACACAAACGGACCAAGTACCGTAATCCTCGCTGCGCATGCGCGCCGAGGGTTAATGAGTGTTAAATGATTCATTTTTTGTATTAATATCAATTATAAAGAAAAGCACTAAAGTGCACACCCTTGGCGCTAAACACGCGAGTTGTAGCATCGCTGTATGCTGGGCAGTGCGTCATCGACGGAGCCAGTAACACGAGTCACGCCGTAACACAGGGTAGTTAACCCTCGGCGCGCATGCGCAGCGAGGGTTAGAGTAGTCTGTCTATGTGTCTGTGTGTGTGTGTGTGTCGACGCTTATTCTGGCACTACAGGCTACGAGGCGGCCTATTAGCGATACCAGCAGCTTCAGAACTACGCGAGCCTGAAAAATTAAAGAGCGATTTTCCTGAAACAACTGCGTTCGAGAGATATGACGTAAAAACAAGCGAAAAAGCCAATATGCATAATCACACTGGGCTTACCGCGACCTGATCCGCTGGCTCTGTGTACCCTGGGGGCTCAGGAAGGCACAACCAATGGCATGTATCGACTCCCGCATGCTATCTACTACTGCAGCTAGCCAGCCAGTTTGCCGAGGGTTTGCACTTAGTGCTTTTCATTGCATTAGCGGTGTTTCAGAGGCTCTCATATTTGCTTTATTCAATCTATCCGCTCTTCTGTGTTTCATTGCCCTCGCCAGACGTTTTATAGATGGGAAGGCAAGGCCGCAACCACAAACTGCTCGCCACCTGAACTATTATGCTACATTGCGAACATACCTTGCTCAGCATGTTTATCCATTGAAAACAAAGAGAAAAGAGATCAAAACTGACAGATCGTACAACCAACGTGGCGTAGCGCATGCTCTGGGGAATAATTGACATGACGAGTGCGCGCTATATAGCCTGCCGGAGAGGGCGCGTGTTTTTCACGCCATTTATCTTGAATGCAGTCGTTTCAGGAAAATTTCCACGTTAATATCAATCTTCTCGTTGTTCACAACCCGTTGGTGCCACTCAGTGGCTGCCTCGTAGCCTGTAGTGCAAGAACTCGCGCGGACAGACAGACAGACAGACAGACAGACCAAGTACCATAACCCTCGCTGCGCATGTACACCGAGGGTTAATTATGAGATAGCACCTAAAGCCCTCCTATCTCTTTCTTAACAGGCCTAAGCTGTTCAATTCACATGGTACAATGCGAGGAGGGAGCCCAAAGGGTGGTATCGTAAACAACTGAGGGGATGTCCCGTGCTGCTGAGGGTGCGCCATACATTAACCAATTTTAAGCCTGAGTGACCAATCACATCATAGTATTGTTTGATGTCACGCTTGTTTCCACGGTAGCTAAGCATGTGCAAGATTGGGCAAGCTTGACTAGCCACGGCCTCAGGCCCTTTCATTTTAGCAAAGTCCAGTCTCATTCCCAGGCCGTTTTTCCTCTCCCACAAAAAAACGGCCTGGGAACGAAACTAAAGCCATCAACAGGGTAAACCATAGTCAAAAAGCCATGAGGCCTAGTCTGGTCACTTGAGCTGGTAAATGGCTGCTGAGATTAGTGTTAAGATATTGATAATCACTGCAGTGAGGCCAAACGACTTCCTGAATTCATGCGGTGAGGTGATTTTCCTTGAAAATATCACCATCGTTCAGGCGAAAAATCTGTAGATGTAATCGATGCCTTTACATAATAGTAGCTAGTTGTTTTGCTACCTCACACATTGCAAGCATGCTTAACCACACAGTGCTCGGCTCAGTGATCACGTGCAAAGTAGAGCCACAGCTTTCCATACTCATCCATTCAAACTCAAACTGTAAAACCTCTTATAACAGTATGGGTAAGGGAGACATGCACTAAGACACACACGACAGTACTGGTTACCGACACACATTACATCCAACCTTTGCTGTCAATTTGAGGGCCAGTTACAACAGGAGATGTGGTAACTAACGCAGCTGGTGGTAAACCATCAGTATCTCCAGTTTCAGTAGGAGCTGCCACTAAGAAAAACATTACCAGGTAGTACATAGGTATGCTACAAGACTTACGGTACTACTTAGTATTATAGGGATGGGCATGGTACCTAGCATCATAGATGTATGGGCTATGATATCATCTTCTTCTTCTTCAGATTGAACTCGTGTAACTCAAAAACAAAATAACATAGAGTAATGAAATTTTGTAACAATGTAGATATCCGTCACCTGAAGAGACTGGTCATACCTATTTGTTTGTAAACAACATTGTTTACTGTAAATAACAACAAATAGCCCCCGGCAATACATTATAATTGGATCACATGTGTCAGTATAACTCACAAATGGAAAGAGATATGTGAACGAAACTTTGTAGACATAATGTATTGAAACACCAACATTAAAGTCACAACAATACATGCTTGTAAACAACAACAAAGAGCCTCAGGTACTTTTCTTTAAATTTACTCCTTAAACTTTCCAATGGTAGCACGCATAGAGATGAAACTTGGTATGTATGCCTATTATATCATTTTCATGACGATTAGACAACCGCATATTGTTTGAAAAAGCCTCAGGCAATATTCTTTAATATTACTTCGTCACTCCTAAAACTTGCTAACTTTAGACCGCAGTCAAGCGCAATTGACCAATCATATTACAGAATTGCGGGGGGGGGGGGTTATTTTTCATAGACACCTCGTGATGGCGTTTGCAGGTGGTCTACAGCAAACTCCCCGTAAAAAATGGCTATTCTCAAAAGTCGTTATCTGCTCAAACCGGCTTATTCCGCGTTCGGTAAGCGTAGAAGGCGCGACTGGTAAAGTATATAGCTCTTTAGTGCGTAGTGCACCTGCAAGAAGTCTGTGGACAACCTCCGGAGCTCGCGAAAGTCAGAAATCACGTCAATATTCCACGAAAAAAGCGTCGGCTTCTTCAGCTCTGGCGATACACAATCAAATTGGGCCGTTGCCGTACGTTGCTAACCCTTTTAAACGCGCACCACTTTTCAATTTTTACACACGACGGTAGAGGGCGGGCCTGGTGTTGCGCTTGTGGAAGGCGCCGTAGCTGTGGCGGCGGAGGGGCCGGGGGTCGTCGTCGTTGTCGTGGGTGGTGATGGTAGAAGGAGGTGGGGGCTGGTCCAGTTTGCGGCACTACTAGAAGGCGTGGCTTCCTGTGTTGACTCGTAGGCGTCGCTAGCGGGTACCATAACTCTGTCGACTGTCTCCTCGGAGTCGGACATCATTTCCAAAATCTCACACGTAAAAAAAGCGTCTTGTTCGATCCGCAGGTAAGAATGAGCGCAGGGTTGCTAGCTTGTTGCTACCCATTTGAACGCGCAAACACCAATCAGATAGCTACTCGGTCTAAACCGGTTAGACGCGGAAGCTCGGTGTCAACGCTACATTGCAACCCTCGGGGCAGCGCTCGGGACGCCAACATTCCACAGCCCCTCGGGTTGCAATGTAGCGTAGACACCTCGCTTCCGCGTCTAACCTATATGTATCTAGCACGCATGAAAGTGAAACTTGGTACACATGCATAATACAATGTTTTCATGACAACCACAACAACTAACAGCCTCAGGCACTTTTCTTTAAAATTACTTCTTCACTCCTCCAACTTCCTAACTGTAGCACGCATGGAGGTGAAACTTGGTGCGCATGTGTATTCCATGACGACCACAACAACAAATAGCCTCAGGAACTTTTCTTTAAAATTACTTCTTCAGTCCTCAAACTTGCTAACTATAGCACGCATGGAGGTGAAACTTGGTGCGCATGTGTATTACATCGTTTCCATGACAATCACAACAACTAACAGCCTCAGGCACTTTTCTTTAAAATTACTTCTTCACTCCTCCAACTTCCTAACTGTAGCACGCATGGAGGTGAAACTTGGTGCGCATGTGTATTCCATGACGACCGCAACAACAAATAGCCTCAGGCACTTTTCTTTAAAATTACTTTTTCACTCTTCAAACTTGCTAATGGTACCATGCATGGAGATGAAAGGTACACATGAGTGTAACATCATTTCCATGACAACCACAACAACGAATAGCCTCAGGCACTTTTCTTTAAAATTTCTTCTTCACTACACAAAATTGCTAACTGTAGCACGCATGGAGGTGAAATTTGGTGTGCATGTGTATTACATCATTTCCAGGACGACAACAGGCTATTATGAATTTTTATAGGGGGCTCACAGATATACGTAGTAGTATATAAAAAGGAGTGCAGACGAGTAAATTAAAAATCCTGCGAATTTAAAAAAAGAGGCATAGCTATAGGGATGGTATAAAAAGAAAAGGAGACAAGGTAAGGATGGGATACATGAAGCATGGTTAATGAACAGATTTGAGCACGCTGACACCCCCAATCCCATCACACGTACATGTTTGTAAGTAACAACATATAGCCTCAGGTACTTTTCTTTAAATTTACTTCTTCACTTCTCAATGGTAGCACACATGGAGATGAAACTTGGTATGTGTGCCTATTATATCATATCCATGACAATTACATGTTTCCATGACGGCCGAATATTGTTTGACAAAGCCTCAGGCAATTTTGTTTAAAACTATTTCTCCTCGAACTTGTTAACTGTAGCACGCATGGAGGTGAAACTTGGTGCGCATGTGTATTACATCGTTTCCATGGTGACCACAACAACAAATAGCCGTAGGCGTTTTTCTTTAAAATTACTTCTTCACTCCTCAAACTTGCTAACTGTAGCATGCATGGAGGAGAAACTTGGTGTGCATGTGTATCACATCGTTTCCATGACGACCACAACAACAAATAGCCTCAGGTGCTTTTCTTTAAAGTGACTTCTTCACTCCTCAAACTCGCTAACTGTAGCACGCATGGAGGTGAAACTGGTATGCATGCATAATATATCGTTTCCATGACAACCATAACACCAAATAGCCTCAGGCACTTTTCTTTAAAAGTACTTCTTCACTTCTCAAACTCACTAAAAGTATAGCACACATGGAGATGAAACTTGGTACACATGCTATTACATCATTTCCATGACAACTACATGTTTCTACGTATTGTTCAAATATCTTCAGGCACTTCTACTCAAACTTGCTAACGGCAGCACGTATGGAGATGAATGTTGACATCATTTCCATGACAACTTCATGTTTCCATGACCACCACATATTGTTTGAGCAACATTAAATAGCTTCAGGCACTCTTCACTCCTCAAACTTGCTAACGGTAGCACTCATGGAGATGAAACTTGGTATGAATGTGTATGAAATTTTTTCCATGACAACCACATATTATTTCTACAACAACAAATAGCCTCAGACATTTACTTCTTCACTACTCAAACTTGCTAACGGCAGCACACATGGAGATGAAACTTGGGACGCATACGTAATACATCATTTCCATGACGACAACAGGCATTATTCTCTATTATACATTTTTATAGGGGGCTTGCCCCTTATGATAGAGGTAATACGTATATAAAAATGAGTGGAGAGAAGTAAATAAAAAATCCTGCGAATTTAAAAAAGAGGCATATAGGGATGGTATAAAAAGAAAGGGAGACAAGATAGTGATGGGATACATGAAGCATGGTTAATGAACACATTTGAGCATGCTGACACCCCCAACCCCATCACACAATCCCTATATTGTTGCCTAGGTGAAGTATTAAACATTCACCATTACAATACTCAGAACTTATAATACAAAAAAGTCATGCTACTGAGTAGCCAACACCGTTACAGAGTCCAAGTGGAGTGTAATAAAAGGGAATGTGGCAGTATAAAAGTAAAAAATTTTACTAACAACAACAGGGACACGGTGAAAGAATGCTTGCTTTTAGTAACCTTTCCCTATAAGAGTAGCACACCAGGCAACGATAATTAGGGATTGTGCGATGGGGTTGGGAGTGTCAGCATGCTCAAATGTGTTCATTAACCATGCTTCATGTATCCAATCCCTATCTTGTCTTACTTTCTTTTTATACCATCCCCATATGCCTGTTTTGCAGGATTTTTAGTTACTTGTTAAAATTGAAATTGTCCCGCTTGTCATATAATTCTGTTGAATATTTCCAATTTTCTATAGTTACTAGTATGTCTAAGTACGACAGTTGTGTTTGATATTCTTCAGTTGGAGTTCGTGGGATATTTGTCAGTTATCGCTGAATGAAATGCAGCATTATTTAGTGTTAAAAGATCGTCAATATATCCTATTGCATTACTGATTTTTTTAGCTAACACGAAATTTGTTTTAATTAGGCCCCTTATATACCTATACTCATTATAGAATAGAAACAAATTTGTTACAAATGGTGCACAATGTGGTCGCAGAAAACATGGTAACAGACAGACAGACAGATGGACACACACACACACTCATGAACCAAGTATTGCTGCGCATGCACCGAGGGTTAACATACAGCCACACTCACTGAGGGGGGAGTTTTGCTGTTTCAGTTGTAGAGGGTCTGGATCTCTCTTTTCAACTGTACAGGTAGCTAGGCAGTGAATGCACGCACACAATGCAGAGCGAGGTTCACACTTACCTACTACACCAGAAGAATTTCCTGCAGTGAATACAATATTCAGCTGTAACACACAAGCAGCCTACTCTATTTACCTGTGAATTCAATTACAACAGCTTTCACTCTGTCATTGTCAGGCAGCATTCTAATGAAGACCTCATAGTCAGAGACACTGGACCAGATTCTGGTCAGAGCCACATCTATCAACTCAGGGGCACTTCTATAAGCGCCTTCACCAAGCCAGCCACTGAGTTTGAATTGATTCAGGAGGTGTTGGTCTGGCCCATCTGCCAAACTCTTGGCCAGTTGCTCCTTGTACTGTAGTACTGCTTGGTACTGTGGGGAATGGGCCTTGCCTGCTGTGTAGGCATACACAAAATAACAAGTGTGAAAACAAAATTTCTTCACAAACTTGCCTTGTATTCCGGCTGCAGGTTGTAGGTTTCCACCCAGTTCCTTGCACAAAACCTGTAGGGACTCAATGGCTCTGGCCTCATATAGACACTCTGCCAGTGTACGATAGGTGGCCCAGGGTCCGTTCCTCTGCAGCCACTTGTCTAATAATGCTACCCTGAAACCATGCCATTAGTGCATACAAAGAGAAAAATTTCACTTTGCATAAAACATGAACGTATGTGCGACAGTGCTGTCTTCATCGGCTATACATACATAATGGTAACTGGGCAATTGAAACGACCTGGGTAGGCTTGTTTTCCTTGCCAACTGTACAAACCTCTAGCTGCATGCGTGAATTGGGACTCATGAAGAAATCTAAACTGCTGGCCGGATTTTACTTACTGCTGCAGCTCTAGGTTGTTGGGATTGTCATTTTCAATGGTGTCTGTATCATTCTCGATGTTGGGTAGGTACTGAGCTACAATCTTCCAGTTGCGAAGGCTTCTGGCTATCATGACTCGACTCTTTCTGTCCTCTAGTTTTTTGTCCAGGTGTTGGCGATTGTGAGGTGGAATGCACTCCAGCATCTCCTTTAGTGGAGGCAGATCCATCTTCTGCAATAGCCAATCCATATATTAAACTCACTCTAAAATTGAAACCTATTATGTATGGAGTATGTAGATGAAGGATACATATTTTACACCGCGTGCCTACAACTGTGCAATAGAATAATTGGAGGATACACATACTGGTGCTGACACTGGTCTGCATGTGAGTTGTCACTGTTTCTTTCCAGATTTCATTTTGCGTTATTATTCTTCCGGCTGATTTTTTACTGCCTCTTTCATTCAGATTTTATAATATATATTATTTATACATATATATTTTTCTACTGCCTCTGTATAGTATACTGTCGTTGTGGTTGTTTGTTGTGGGGTTTGGACACTGGGTATGTGGGGGGAGTTGGCATGCCGTAAAAGACTCTTTAACCCACCGTCCCAGTTCTCAAGGCTGGGCACCTGGTGATGTCCCATGTGTGTACTTCGGTGGGGTGACTTCTGGTTTTCTTCTATGGCTAATATGCTACACACATGCTTTTGACACGTCAAACACATCTAACTTTCTACATCCTCTCAGGCATCAGAATGTATTAACATACCTTATATCATTCATTTTATTTTTAAGATCAGCAGTTACTAGTAACATGATGTCCCACAACAAATTTCTGTTAAAATAGGGACAAAACTAGAATTTTGGGTTTATTTCACTAAACACAATATACATTAGCAACCAATGCACGTTGTCCTACAGCGAATGTGTCAAGACTACACACTTTTGTAACAATATTTCCCCGGACGCAAATAGGTATATACATAGTGGATGTGCTTTAGGCATGGCTGCAGAGCTAACGGAGGCCAATTTACCGCCTCGCTTGGCCTAGGTAGAAAGGTTTGGGAGGGTCTGCCGTGATAAACACACAGAGTTTTGAACCTTTAGACCAACTGCGACCTGGAGAAGTTGCAGAAAGGCTTGATCAGAAAAACAGTTGTGACCCAAACACGGCACGTTTTACTGCGTTTAAAAAGTAGAGGAGTTTGTCGGCATTAAGGACCAGAAGGCAAGCTCTGCAAGGGGTGACATTAGTAAGTAGCCGTGCAATAGCTTTCCCGCCCAGTAACAGCAACCACACACTAGTTCACAATAATCTTGGCATCTTGGCCTTTTTGGAACATTCTCTGACTGGCTGAAAGAGAAGATCCATCTCCAAATTAAAGTATGAGCTATATGCACAATACTCATGGTCAAAATAGCCATAAATAAATTTTCTTTGAAATGCTGACGTGTATAAACATATTAAAGTGCGACAAAAATTTTACTTATTAACCATCGGTGTGCATGCGCGAGGGTTACTGTAGTTGTCGTGTGTGTCTGTCCGTCACCTGCACAGCATTGCACCACGTGAGCTCACTTGCCCGGGCCAGGTGTGTGCTGCAAGCTGCCCCACCTGCTGGAGAGGGGCACATGGTTCCACGACATCTCACTTCACAAGCCAGCAATAGCCCCACAATCGCTCCACAAATAATACCACATATTCAGCATCGGATAAAGATCGGAAAATATGTCTGAAACTGCTGCGTTCGAGAGTTATGGCGTGAAACACGAGCGAAAAAGCCAATATGCTAATTAAAACAGGCTTACCTCGAGTTTGCTTGCTCTGTGTAAGTATCTTGAAAGCACAAGAAGTCACAACGAAGGGCGCGGTACTCGTGTTTGTGTGTCCATCTGTCTGTCAGCAGCTATTCTCGCACTAGAGGCTACGAGGCGGCAGAAAAAGCCAATATGTACAAGTAAATAAAAAAATCCTGCGGATAAAAAAAAGAGTGCATATAGCGATCGATCGTATAAAAAGAAAGGGAGACAAGATAGGGATTGTGTTTGTGGAAACACAGAGATGCTAGCGAGGAGTTAGGACTCCCACAGGTCATTACAACAGCCCTATATCGTCGTACGGTGGGAGTACCCATCATATATAGATGTATGGGGCTATGATAGGGAAAGTTTTCAATCTTCTTCGTAGGGTGGGAGTGGGAGTGATGAGAGAGTCTGTAGAATATTGCTGTAGGTAATGAAGTACTTACTAATTATTACCTTCGACGCAAGAAAACAAAATTCAAGTATGCAAGGTTGGCTGATATATTCACGAGGAAGTAGTAAAGCACCGTTACGACGATATAGGGCTGTTGTAATGACCTGTGGGAGTCCTAACTCCTCGCTAGCATCTTTATTTACTTGTCTCCACTCATTTTTATATACTACTACGTATTATCTCTGTGGAAGGGGGCAAGCCCCTATAAAAATTAATAATAGAGAAAAAATGCCTGTTGTCGTCATGGAAATGAAATGCATACCATCCATGTGTGCTGCCGTTAGCAAGTTTGAGGAGTGAAGAAGTAATTATAAAGAAAAGTGCCTGAGGCTATTTGTTGTTGTGGTCGTCATGGAAACGATGTAATACACATGCGCACCAAGTTTCACCTCCATGTGTGCTATAGTTAGCAAGTTTGAGGAGTGAAGAAGTAATTTTAAAGAAAAGTGCCTGAGGCTATTTGTTGTTGTGGTCGTCATGGAAACGATGTAATACACATGCGCACCAAGTTTCACCTCCATGCGTGCTATAGTTAGCAAGTTTGAGGAGTGAAGAAGTAATTTTAAAGAAAAGTGCCTGAGGCTATTTGTTGTTGTGGTCGTCATGGAAACGATGTAATACACATGCGCACCAAGTTTCACCTCCATGCGTGCTACAGTTAGCGAGTTTGAGGAGTGAGGAAGTAATTTAAAGAAAATTGCCTGAGGCCTTTTCGAACAATATGCGGTCGTCATGGAAACATGTTAATCATGATGGAAATGATATAATAGGCATACTACAAGTTTCATCTCCATGTGTGGTACCGTTAGCGAGTTTGAGGAGTGAAGAAGTAAATTTAAAGTAAAGTGCCTGAGGCTACTTTGTGTTGTGGTTGTCATGGAAACAGTTTAATACGTATGTGTATCAAGTTTCACCTCCATACATGCTACAGTTAGCAAGTTTGAGGAGTGAAGAAGTAATTTAAAGAAAATTGCCTGAGGCTATATGTTGTTTGTAGTTGTCAGGGAACGGTGTATACACATGCGCACCAAGTTCACCTCCATGCGTGCTATAATTAGCAAGTTTGAGGAGTGAAGAAGTAATTTAAAGAATTGCCTGAGGCCTTTTCGAACAATATGCGGTCGTCATGGAAACATGTAATCGTCATGGAAATGATATAATAGGCATACGTACCAAGTTTTATCTCCATGCGTGCTACCATTGGAAAGTTTGAGAGTGAAGAAGTTAATTTAAAGAAAAGTGCCTGAGGGCTATTTGTTTGTTATTTACAAACATGTATTGTTGTGATTTTGATGTTGGCTATTGAATACATTGTGTATCAGAGCGTCGGTAGACGCTCTATATAGGGATGACACGAGTGAAATCTCACGTGATCCGCGTACAAAACGCCTCAAAACTCAGCGAGAATGACTCACCATGGCTTCAAAATCACTAGCAATAGTCTAGAGGCCAATACCTAGCTATACATATGCCCCAAGACTTCCTACGTGCCCTCAGTTCCCCACCAGAGAATTCGCTCTTACGCGATTTCGCGATTTTCGTGTCATCATAATCATCATATCTTCTTCTTCTTCTTCTTCTTCTTCAGACCCGCTAGCTCCTTACCGGAAGCAGTTGAAGCGTTGATTTTTTCACAGAACGTCTCCAAATTTTCCGGAGGTGTGCACGCATATCAAGCGATCGCTTGTTTCTTGCCGCAAGTCACTACGGTAGATCGTTGAGCTCTTCCACGGTAGTCACTGAACAACGCCATTTGCTGCTAACTCAGCATCAGTGAGCCGCATGCGCCGAGGAGGGCGTTTCCAATGCGGTGCGCGCGCATTTTGCCTGATCCACGAACGAGACTAAGCCAGGACTGGATGCCTGCAGAGAAAACTACTCTCATCCTCCAGTGCCTTCTGTAAGTCAGTGTACACTTTGTAAGTGGCTAACTTGCGTTTTGCTGTTGATTTGCACGAGGAGCAACTTGGCAGTGTGCGCCGTGTTACGCGGGCCTTGCACAGCGCCTTCATTCTTTGTCCCCCAGGTTATAGCTATCATTGTAGTCTGATTACTGAAGCCTGCCTATGAAACCACCCCACCATATGTGCCACAATCTAATTGCATCCTTGTTGGAGACACTACACATACACCCTGCTTCAGGTAGGAGCAGCCCATTAGCTTCTGCTTTCAACAGTTATCTCTACAACACCCATGAACATCAGAGTGACTGAAAATGCAGTGTTGTCATAAGGCGTGAAAAATAGTGGAAACAAGTGGAAAAATCATTTCTTCAAAATGAAAGGGGGATATAGGGATGGCTTGAAGCACCAAAAAGGAAGAAACAAGGGGTCATTACACAGCAAAGATGCACAAAGCTACATGACACCATCCCTATATCTTTGTGTTATTGTTCACAACCAATCTCGCCCTGCTGACATTTTCCTCCCTAATTGGGAAAGAGCCGCGCTTGCCGTCTCCGTCATTTCCATTCTGCAACAGTTTACCTTGAAGTAAAGTTTAATATGAGACAAAGATATAGGGATGGTGTCATGTAGCTTTGTGCATCTTTGCTGTGTAATGACCCCTTGTTTCTTCCTTTTTGGTGCTTCAAGCCATCCCTATATCCCCCTTTCATTTTGAAGAAATGATTTTTCCACTTGTATAAACTTTAGCTCACATAACTCTTACCAATTGTGAGTTACACTGACACATGTAGTATGCCCATTATAATGTATTGCCTGGGGCAATTTTGTTGTTGTTTACAGTAAACAACATTGTTTACAAACAAAAAAGTATTACGTTGCCCATATGGTTATCGATATGTACATTCCTACAAAATTTCATGGCTTTATCTCTTTCGGTTTTTGAGTTATGCTGGTCGAACAGGAAGAAGAAGAAGAAGAAGATGAACAAAACTCCCTATCATAGCCATGATGTAGGTACCATGTCAATCCCTATCACTAATTAGACTACGGTAACACGCAATTGACCAATCAGATTGCGAGTTTAGCGGTAACTATTTTTGTTAGTGACCTCTTCCGCGGTAACTATTTCGCAGCCCTGCGGCACTTTTCTTACGCGTATTGACCATGGCAACCACGCTTCCAAATCGAGAGACGCGTGCGAGTGGAAGGCAAACGGAGCTTCTGGAGAGGTTCTTTCTCCCGAAACCCCAGGTATTCCGTCTTCTAGTAGGAAGCGGTGCATGATTACAGGGCCCTAGCTACAGCTCAAGTCAGACGCGCACGCTAGCGGTGCGAGAAGCGCCCAGCGGTCCCGCCTACTTTCGCGTTAGCGAGCCGCGCCGCCTAGAACAAACACCCTTGCTGGTATAGTCGTGGTTGTACGCCTGCTCGAACTGGCTTCCAGTTCGTCCTCAACAAAAAGCTCCGACCCCAGCGTTGTTGTGCGTTGCTAGCGCTGTAGTCTAAGTTGGTTAGATGCGTCGCCTTGGGAACTACGCGATTTAGTGAGCCTCGGGGCCCTGGTAGTAGCGCCATCGCTACGCTCGGGACGCCGACAGCCCAGGGCCGGCCCTCGGCTCACTAAATCGCGTCGTTCCCGCGGCTCAGCATCTAACCTATACGTACGGTACTTAGTGATATATTACCTAACTGTATTATGTTTTGGAACATTTTTAATTGTCCGCAGCGTGTTGCACAGCTGGTGAAAGCAGTTAAGTGGATGGAGTGGTCATATGCAGACTGTCAGTAACCTCTCCTTACACAAACTTGGGACTGAGGACAACACCCAACAATGATCTGACGATCGTTTTAACTATTGCATATTATGTATAACTTGCCAAGGTTCAATATCCATAGCAGCTAATGTGCATGCGTATAATCAAACTCGTGTATGTATGAGTTTCAAGTATGCCATAATCATAGTTAGGCAAGTTGCGACAGGAAGTGATGCAACAACAGCAGTGAGGATGTCACTCCCTCACTTATCGTCTTCTTGTTTTCACCAATGAAGATATTCAGGGTGTAACGCTTGCTGTTCACGTTCAGTATGTTGGCAACTACAGCCTGCATCTGCAATAATATATAGATTAGTATAATTATAGCCATTTGTGACCGTGTACGTGAACACCAACCATATGTCGGCAAAAGTGTTTTCGGCGTTTTTATGAAGATACACGCCTTTTACGATATCGTATATACTATCAACACAGGAAAAAATTATGGCTTTCTCTCAGGCGAAAATGTAAATTCTAAGAAACAAGGCTTGGTTTGGCAATAATATAATAGTTTTACTGCTGGTAGAATGAAAAGAACTAAAGTGCAAACCCTCGGCGAACTGCGCATGAGCGGTATCACTATATAATTGATGGGCTGGGCTATTAGTAGTATGTGTTTACTCACGGTCTCCCGCTAGTAGCTCGCGGAGAGCCTGGTACGGGCTAGCCACAGTAGTAGATAGCATGTGGGAGTCCCTTCGTTGTTACTTCTTGTGCCTTCAAGATACAAATAGCAAGCGAGGTATATATATAAGCCTGTGTTAATTAGCATATTGGCTTGTCCACTTGGTTTTCACGCCATAACTCTCGAACGCAGCCCTCTTACGAAAATCACCATTTTAAAAATGAAGCCAGTGTAGCGCTGAACCTGTTGGTGCCGCTATTTTTATTTTAACTGTTTGTTGCACGTGGTGACATAAAACAACGGACAGACGGATGGTCAGACCAAGTACGTACTGTAACCCTCGCATGCGCACCGAGGGTTCAAACAAACCTGAAGGTTTTCAATAAACAATCCCAGAAGGGGAGTGACTCTCAATTCGGTTGACGGCGTACAACCTGCAGCCATTT